TTCTGTCCTGAGCTTGGTATAAGAGCATTCAGGTATTTGTTTTCCAACACAGTCTCCAAGGGCAAACAGTTGGCTTAATTCTGACCTTGTGCTTGGTAGGAGACAATACACAAGTTCACTTTTCTCTATTGCAATATTTCTAGTTTTGTCCAGGAATTTCTGAAAACCTTCTCAAACTGATCATTGTGATCAAAGTTGATTTCTTTTTTTAGCTCCCTGCCCAAGAACAGTCTGTCTTTCAGAACCGTGCCTAAAAACAAAAACCAAAAAATTTATCCCGAATCAAATTATGGCTGAACAAAAACCAATCCGAAACTTCTAGTAATCGCATGCTGTGTGCATAACTCCCGGCAACAAATTGGGAACGTGATCCCACGGCATTGTCACAGATAACGCCGTGGGTAAGTACGGAGCAACCTGCTGCCCCTCAAGTGAGTTGGGGGGGGGGTAAATCACTGGATGTATTACACATCGGCAAATGGTCTCGCAAGCCAATACGACTTAAGTGTAATTACCCCTTGCACGTACAGCAACTCATCCTGTGGAGGTGCGAAGTCAAGAACGCGCTCATACCCCAGAGGCAGACACGGGCATAAATTAGATTAGTTTTGTCCTTTTTTTAATTCATTTCTTTTATTGTTGGCGGAGTGACATATACCTTTCTTTGTCCCACCAAATTAAACAGGGCCTCTTGGATTCTTTTGTATCATACAGACGGTCTGAAATCACGGTTGTAGGTTGTGGTTGGTTCAAATTTGCTTTGGAGCTCTTGAGAAAAGGAGATTGCTTGAAAAACGAAGGAATGGAATTGTCCGTAGCGCCATTTCGTGGGCTTATACCAATAGTACCAGGCATTCTTGTTCCTGTCAGGCCCTCACCTACTTTATGATTCGAGCGTTAACTCAGATGAGGCCATGGCCTCCCTGCGTCACGGTCTATTTTTAGTGGTAGCTATATATCAATCTGTTGACAAGGTGTCAGGGTATGAGCAAGTCAGGGAACCAGACTGCATCTTGGCTCTTGCAGCGAGCTACGCATAGCTACCGGTACATATGTAGCTATGTGTGCTTGTACTATATGTGGGGCACGTTCCATTCTGCCACTACATACATGTATATGTACATGCACATGTATGTCCACACTTTGTGCTGTGAAACACATCCTAATGACAAGGTGGTTGACAACAATCAGCAAGTAGGACACATCTGACAAAACACTTGGTAGGGCTTCCAGTTGACATCGATATAAAGGCATTCTGACTTGCACCAGCGTGTTAAGGGACTGCAGCGCCCACACTGTGGCATACACGCAGGCTTAAACCGTGCCTGCTCCAACAATGACAAATTAACAGACAAAGCTGCGTTGTCCATCCACAATTAGGAATGAGTTCCCACCACTCCTCCTGCCCTCCCCCCCAGCAGTTTCTTCTACAGGCATTATTTGCTCCGAAGTTTGACAAGTACGAGTATGGTACACGTATGGTATTAACAGGGGTAAAACTGGTTGCAAACACCATTTCAGGCAAATGAAGAAAAAGTGTGCGGTTAAACGCTGTGTTTACAGGTGCAAGCCTTTTGTAATTGTTGTCAGACAACCTCAGGCTAATCTGCTATGTTTAAAGTGTTTGACACTGCCCAGGGGGAGAACACCAAATAGCAAACGACTTGTTTGTTAAATGCTAAACAGTGCCTCAGGTGGGTTATTTAGCTGAAGGATCTGGACAATTGTTGGCCAGCAAACAGGCCTTGGTGGTGCCCTTGTGGTGGGCACACTGTTGTGGTGAACCGACTAATTAGAGCCCTGGTTAAGCTAGGGTAATCCCTGATTACAGACAAAACAACTAGTAGATCATGTCCATACATGTCTTGGCTTGAAGTTCAAAAACAACAACAGGCTTGCGTATAATCCCAGTCACTGCTCTCAACTGTCAAACTTGTACACTGCCCTCGTGTGTCCGAATTTACAGTCATCCTTTCCTGTTGGCATTGTGGAATACACTTCCATTAAGTGTAAGTTACATGTACATGTAGAATTGTATCCGTGGTGCCATATGCAGAACAATTATCCATGTACTTATTACTGCATGTTCATGTTGCTGAATCCAGGCTACATCAGCTTTGCTTTTTGAACCTTATACCGGTAAACTACCACTGTATTTTAAGTGTGCAAGGGCAAATTCTAAGGAGAGAGAGTGGGCAGAGGGGTACTCATTTCGTATTGAATGAAATGGGATTCGTGTTTCGAGATAAGAAAATAGGAAGAATATTATTCATTCATGTTCCCTGTTAAAAAGCTCATAAGATTCGGATACAGTAGTATTATGTCCCAGCCCAGTGATCAGGAAACTATTAAACCATTCTTCTTTGAAGACTGCCGAGCGTGGATGTTAGATGTATCAACATTTAAGACTCAATTGTATTTCTGCATACGAGTACGTGGACACATATTTAGTGGTAATTTGTTAGGCATACCTTAGACATAGGCTCTACATTGTACGCACTGACTAAAAGAGGGTGCGTTGCTGCGTAGGAGCTGCGTCCTGCGGGGCCGGCGGCATGCGTCCCTCTTATGGCTATACGTGCATGTGGCGTTTGAGAATAGGCACCCCCCCTCTTTTTTTTTGGCATCTGTTTGTTGCTCATGCCCGTACCGGTACTTGCCCAAACCACACAGTGCCGTACCCCCAATGAAGAAATCCTGCCGGCTTCCTGCTGGCTGGCTTCAAGCTTCCCATGTCTGGTGGGTGCGTTTGTCAGTTTTCTCAAAGAGAAAGAATGTACTGTAACATCGGGTAGGACAGGAACATCATTTCATTGCACAGTAGCACTGATAGCGCGTAACATAAAGGCATTGATGCATTGATGCTTCAGCACTTGTCTTACCATTTAGCGTACATCTGTGTTCTTGTGTTTTTTTTCCCATTCATTGCTCAGTGCTCAGGGCAGCCAGTCAGAGATGATATCAACAAGTCATCACAATATGTACCAGTATACATGTACGCACATGTATACGCATGCACCCGAAGAGATCTTTTATCAGAGGGGTCGCATACATGTATGTTTCATTGGGCAACTTCATTGCACACTCTCTTGCCTGTTTCCTCCGTGGCTATATATAGCTGTAGTCCGCGTGTGAGTAGAGTTTGCTCATTGCTCGTTGCCACGAGGGATCTCCTCTGGGTTCTCTGGTTTTCTTGCCTGCACAGAAGATCCACACTTTGGATCTGTGGCCATGATTCATGGTAACATAGGGATCACCTCGGTGGCTGCGTGAGGCGACTTACACATGCCTGACCACACTGGAGCTACATCTTTCCTAATTCTGCCATCTTGGGATGTCCAAAAATTAACCAACATTTCAACAAAGTTAGCGCTTGTAAATGATTTAGGGGCAGGGATTGGTACTTTAGTGTAGTTAAGTTGTACCAGATATCCACAAAAGGAGCAACAAACTATATGCGTATTTGTTCAAAACAAAAAAGAAAAACTTTAGAAATACCTTTTTGCCTTATGTTGGTGGAGTGCATTCAGCTGGCTTTTAAAGTTACATCTCTAATAGAATGCAGTTTTGTACCCTAATTTGTTAATTTTTCCCCCTTTTTATTTTATTGATTTTCAACACCGAATAATCAATTTTGAAGGATATTCGATAAAGGATCAAATACCCAAATATTTGAATAATTGGCAGAGCACTACATGTCCATGTATGCTACTTGTTTGATGTTCGTAAGTTTGTTTTTCCCACTTTTTTACTATGCATGCTAATGAGAAACTCTAACTCTAAGTAGGATACAACCAGAGCTATGTAACAGCAGTTACGTACATGTAGTTTGTTTTTTTTCTAAACTTAAATGTCATCGACCATGAAGTATAAATGTAATTCCTATGGGTGAATAAATGGCAATGGAATGGATATACTGTGGCGCCGGTGGATTTTCAAGATCTGTTACAACATAATTGTAAAAAAATCCTTTAATCTGTGGAGTTGGGTGTTTCTTTTATTTCATTTTTTTTCCATGCAGACGAGGAATAAAAAACTCACTCAACATTCATCCGCATAGGGGATTAACATGAATATTGCAGTTTAATCGTCTTAAAATAGGGCATATTCCCCTTGCATGAAAAAAACCCCAAACTTTAAAACTTTTCCCCATGTGTTTGAAAATTCAAATTGATCAAGTTTGTCTACTTGCGTTTGTGTAGGATCAATATCAGTTATATGAAAAGTTTCCCCTGTAATGTACAATTTTTATTTCATGCATATTAAAGGCCCTTAATGTTTTCAGGCTTCAGGAACTTGACTGAAATGTTCCTATTAGTAAGAAGATATTCCATGCATTTGACAGTGTAATGTTTGAAACATCAGCCCCGTCTTTTCTGTGCTGGTAGTTTAACCACATTCCCAAGAGTTGTATCACACATGTGCAGTAAAGCTACTGCGTGAGCCCTCAGCTCTGGAAAGGGATTTTGGAGGGATCTGCTAAAAAAATTGACATTTTATGAAGTTCTCCAGAGGCCACAGGTGTATGCACCTGATTGTAGCATTCGTACGTCAACTTGGCCTGTCCCCCCCCCATGGCCTGTTTGTTGTTACAAAGTTTGTGACTCTTTTCAGGCAACTGTTTTAAAACTTCCATTACTTTAAAGAAATTACTTAAAACCATTTGTACATGTATGGAGGCACAATTTTATTGTAAAAAAAAATCAGTATACATGCATGCTCCCTTAACTACTTTTGTAAATTGCGTCCTAGCACAAGTCAAAATCCCGTGGCAAAATCACAGGTCAAGTCGCAAGTAAATCTGTATAACTCTGTTGTAATTTATTATTAATATTTATCGTCAGAGACAGTGACAAAAGATGTAAATTTTCCACCCACATTGTCAAGTTGGCCATCCAGGCATCACGGATGGCGAGACGCCCCCTTTTTTTCCCTCCCCAGTTTCAAACTTTTCTGTGTAACTGTATTTTTCCTCTCTTTTGTTTTTTTTCAACCTGCAGAGAAAGACAAAGACCGCGACCTTCCATCCCGGACGTCTTTTGAGCTGCGCTTCCCTGAGTCGTCGTGGGAGGATGCCGTGAAGTTCTTCGGCGGTGGGTCATCATGACGTCAACTCTTCCACCGAGGTTAAAAGGGGCTTTCAGGGTTGTTGGCTGAAGCTGTATTTGAGATTTAAAATGTGTGCAGTTGTGAATTGTGCAGCTGGTCTAAGTAAGCCGTTTATAAACAGTGTTGTAGCAAGAGTCCTTTTCCGAGGCCTCGATTCTACCGACTCACAAGTTGAGGCAGTGGGACTTTGTGACCGCCACTGCAAAAAGGTGTATTACGTCACATTTGTTTGGAATTTGAGTTTGATATAATCAAATTGCTCACATCCTAAGCTTTCATTTGATATATAATTCATCCCAGTGGCCTTTGCGGTTTGGAGTTAATTTCATTTTGTCACACATGCTTTTTGAGATAATGCCTTTTAAACACTACGAACAGAGAACTTAAATTAGACACTATCTTGGTTTTCCTTAGCAACGGGGGCTTTTGGCATTTGGCCTCAAAATATTTCCAAATATTTTCACCCTCCGCACATGGAATGGGCCATTACGCCTTTTTGCACAGCGCGACTTGATACACCCTTTTGGCAGAGCGGGTCACATTTAGTGAAGTATGAGGGCAGTGCGCGCTGATGACCAAGTTTTGGAATTGAAAGGAGTAGAAGGGGGCAGACATTCATATCATGTTCTGACAAAAAAGGTCCCGTGTTTCTCTTTGGACACCAGTTCCGATTCCTTCTCCTGAGGCCACCCACCCAAACAGATTTCCGTGCCTACCCAAATTTTTGTATGTTTTGTGTCTCTCTCTCGGAAAGCATTTTTTGAAATTTCCAACGCACTTTTTTCTCCTTTTCTTTTTTAGCCGTGTCTCGCCAAATAGTCCCATTGACTTGCATGTGAACAGCGATATCGATTGTGCGCACACTACGAGAGTATGCGTACCGTGTAATCCCCATAGTATCTGTACATCAATGCTACATCAATACGTCACGGCTCCAGACTAACGGCGACTTTCATATCAAACGCATTTTAATTCATGCAACATATTTATACATGGCAAAGAACATAAACCAATTGACTAGTATTGTGTATTTTGAGAGTTTGTGTTTATTGTCCTAAAGTAGTATCGTGTACATATTGTAAAATTTCATATAAACTCCCTGCCAACTATTTATTAGTCGGCGTGATGTAAACCTAAAACGGTTAACTGGCCTTATCAAAATTCCAAATTGCACAACATTATGCAGCTCATAACGGCGTAACACCTCAGATATTGGATTCAAGGAAAGGGCCCATGTACAAACACACATATTGACAAGCATGACTAGAGAATATTGCCGCATAGCATCAGAAGGAACAACTTCAGTCGCCAAAAGGTGTTAGTTTTTCCACTTCTAAGTTTCCCAAATTGAGATCTCTGTGTGCACATGTACGTTAAGTGAATTTTAAGATGTTTTCAAGTGTGGACAGTTTAAGTTGCGTGCGCAGTTGAATGTAAGTTTATGACTTGCAAGTAGAGCATCGTTATGATGCATTTAGTACTGATTTGTTTCCACGTTTGTATTCCTTTTAATTCAGTGTCCTGAGATCGCAGCAAGTCTGTGTCAGGAGATTGGAGGAGTTGACTGAAATTCATAAAAATTTAATTTCACGTCGACTCTGAACATTCTCTAAAGCAGTTGGATAAAACTAACTTTGTGTGCTTTAAAATATTAAAACAATTTCACACAGGGTGGTATCATTTTTTGTTTATTCTGTCCAAAATTATCTACTCTAAGGAAATCATTAATTACAACATTTAAATAAAATACAACATATTTATTTTCATTCAATTTTAGGAATTGTTCATTTTGTCAACCAAAGTAAGGACTTTATTGCAAACATTGGACACAAAAATCATCTTGCACGTACATGTAGTTCCTTGCAGAAGGACGTTGATTTTGTCAAACTCCTTTTCTTTGTGCTTTCACTGACCGCTTGTAAGAACTATCATTTAGCTAGAAATTGAGTTTACCTGTGTGTAGAATTTTGTTCAAGGCCCAGTGATATGTGAAGTGAGAGAGAATGTCGGACATCTTCACATGCGATTTTCTGAAAAAGCTTGAACAGTTGATGTAATAAGGCCAAGTCATAGTAATGGAGGTTTAGTTTTGAAAGGTTTA